TTAATGTTCAATTGATTGCCAAAATATTTCATCCTAAAAATTACGAATTAATTATTAAATTTTTGAAATTTGAAATTTGAAGAAAAAACAAATTAACGGTAAGTTAAATTCATCATCATCACTTACTCATGCCCAGTAAAATTTTCAATAATCACGGAAAACCCATAATAATTAATTGATTTAAATTTAATAATCACATTATCTATCTGTTCCCCAGATTCCCTCGTGATACTTCCATAAAGTGAGAAATCGCTATTTTCTAATCTTTTTGGAAATGTGATACGGTGATATACAACAGATGATTGTATCTTTTCACAACCAGTCATTATTACTTGATATTTAACTTCTGGTAGTTTCAAATGTTGCTGATAAATTTCTCTTGGTTTCAAATATTGATATTCACGAATTCCAAGAATTGATTTGACCTCATCACGAATAGAATCTTCCAAGATTTCATAAACTGCCATCAAATCATCACGCTTTATGATTTGTAGATTAGAATCATTTTTACATAATTCAATCCAATTTTTAAGATTCTCTTGATTAATGATTTCACCTTTAACTGTTAAGAAACCTTTCCCATCATAATCCATTTCCTTAAACAAGTCTTGTAATTCATTCACTCCGATATAATCGTTAAATTTTTTATCTTTAACAGATTCATACCAAGCTTTATCAATGCGTTTGAATAACTTGTGACCCAGAGTAACTTTTTTGGCAAAGAAATTGCCAAAAGTAAAAAATGTATTTATCAGTGCTGTATGTGGGTCAATTTCTTTAAGAGCATCGTTCACCTTATTTCTAAACTCATCTGATAATCTAATAAACTCCTTTTTAAGAAATAGATCAACTTTTTGATATGTGATAGTAAAATAAATTTCTTGCTTTGGTTTGCTATCAAATAAAGGATGAATAGCAGAATCTTTGTTATTATCAAGTATTGTGCACCATTCCATTGGTATATCACTTTCAGAAGTCATATCAATATGATTTTCAGCAAAGTAAGAGTCATTCCTTTTTTCACATATTAAAAGTTTTGGTATAAAATGTACTTGGTTAAAATTAAAAGAGTGTTCTTTTATATAAAGTTGGTTGAAATTAAAGGAGTGGTCTTTTATATAAAGTTGGTTGAAATCGAAAGATTGGTTGTTTCCATTTCTTAATCCTTTCATGCTAAGAATCAACCCACCATTCAATTTATAAGAATTGATGAAATTACGAACTAATTTATTTACATGTCCATATACATCATTCTTATAT